TGGGGGGGTCATACCACAATCTCCAACTAAGCACTGCATGTGTTTTCTGTGGCTGACAGATGTTCCAAACCCGTTCCCTCAGAGGTCATCTTATTTCTTATCTTATCTCTACTGCTTTGGGCTTTTATTTCAGGCTGCCTAAATCCATTGTCCAGTTTACTAAGAGCCTTTTGGTTGTAAAACGTGCCAATTGTAAATAGGATGAGAGTGTATACATAGAACTTTTCTGAAAAGACAGTTGATAAAGGGAAATGTTATAGGTTGAATTGTCTACCTCAAAAGATATGTTGAAGTCCTAACTCCTTACCGCTACCCCCCCCCCACCCCCACCTGCCAACTGGCAAATGTGATCTTATTTGGAAATAGGGTCTTTGCAGATGTAATCAAGTTACAATGAGGTCATACTAGATTGGCCTGGGCCCTAATGCAATAACTGATGGCCTTATAAGAACAGGGAAATTTGGGCACAGACACCCAGAGGAGAAGGCCATTTAAAAACCTAAGTAGACATCGGAGTGATACATCTATAAGCAAAGGATTGCAAGGACTACCGGCAACCACCAGAAGTTAGAATGGGCAAAGGAGGACTCTTCCCTGGACCCAGGGAGAGGGGGGCCCTGCCGACACCCTGACTTCAGACTTCCAGCCTCCAGAACTGTGCCAAAAGACATTGCTCTTGTTTTAAACCACCCAGTTTTCAGTACTTTGTTATGGCAGCCCTAGGAAACTAATATAGGAGATTTTGATTATTATTTGAAAATATCAAGTCATGCTCTAACAGAATGTGGACCTTTCTTAGTCACATTTTAAATGTGGATGGTCCTTCCCAACATGCCCCATAACAGCCTTACTTCAAAAGGGGAAGTAGCCAATGAACAAATCGGCCAACTCAGCATCAGATGTGCATTTTAACAGGGTGGCCTTGTGCACATTGAATTTGTGAGGTACTGATCTCTTCAATGCAGCTTCTATGGGAGCGGAAACACTTGTCTCCCCAGAGCCTACCCCAATGTCTGTCTTAAAGAGAGATTTAACTGATCAATGTATGAGGCTGATATCATGTTAACACCCATGCTCTACAGGGGAAAAAAACAACAACAAAAAGTTCTCTTTTATCAGAATAAACAGACTCAAGTTTACAGCCAATCTTCACAGGCTTCCTTAAAATTCCCCCCTTATTCATCTCTCGTATCTTCTTCCTGTCAAATCCCATTTCTGCAGGAAATATATGACTATTCTATTACTAATCGAGTCTGCTATTTTGTTTTTCAGTATATATTTTTTTAACACTGAAAAGGACAACACAGGCATGGTTGGATTTGTACTGTCATTTTTTAATTTGGTCCATGAAGACTGCTATCTAGTAATAGTTAAAAAATTGCCATCCTCACCAGTCCGTGTGTGTGTGTGTGTGTGTGTGTGTGTGTGTGTATGTGTGTGTGTGTGATTTAAATATTTATTGATTTCAGGGAGGAAGGAAGAGGGAGGAAGAGAGAGATAGAAACATCAATTTCAGTCCGCAGGGGTTATCGGCTGCCGCCCGCAACCCAGGAAAGTGCCCTTGACTGGAATCGAACCCAGGAACCTTCGGCTGCCGCCCGCAACCAGGGGGAAGTGCCCTTGACTGGAATCGAACCCAGGAACCTTCAGTCCGCAGGGGAACGCTCTATCCACTGAGCCAAACCAGTTAGGGCTGTGTGTTTTTTAAACAGATAAGAGGGGATTCCAGAAAAGTATACAGTGAAGAAAGCCCTTCACACTCAGCTTCGAATTTCCTTAGTAAAATGTGGGATCTGGCCCGCAACCAGGGGGAAGTGCCCTTGACTGGAATCGAACCCAGGAACCTTCAGTCCGCAGGGGAACGCTCTATCCACTGAGCCAAACCAGTTAGGGCTGTGTGTTTTTTAAACAGATAAGAGGGGATTCCAGAAAAGTATACAGTGAAGAAAGCCCTTCACACTCAGCTTCGAATTTCCTTAGTAAAATGTGGGATCTGAAAGAGTTTGCAAACTGTCTCAAATCCAACACCATAAAAGTCCTCCATAAACAGCTGATTCTGACCAATCTCTGAAACCCACCCCCCACTTGCTCCTCTTTTTTCTCTCCAACAAGTTGAATTTGCAATTCTCTAAAAGGCACAAAGTTGCCTGAGGTTTGTATGGGTCACGTGACCAACAGCCTTTTATCATGATAATAGTGGAGGACAGGATTGACACACCCTTTGTACATAAACAGGACATCATTTGTTTTTGTTGTTGCAGTTGAGTGTATCCCTTGCCTTTCAGCGTGCGCGATTTGATCAGAAGTTGACTAATTTATCCAAGCAGGAAGTTAATGGTGTGCCTTGAGTATTAAGTTAGTGCAAAGGAGCCTTTCCAAGGGGAGCCCCAGTGGTGGGATACCTGGTTCCAGGTCAGAGGTTTGGAGGCAGCCTCTCCACCCTGCTTTCTACATCGCGTGCTGAAAACTCCCCGAATTCTCTTACCACACTCAAAACTGAAGTTATTTAAACTTAAGAGTAGTTCTGTCCCATGCTGACAGCGTGGTCTACACCTCTGCAGAACCAAGGCAACATAAATACTTGCAGATTTGTGTTGATTGAATGACTTGAGGTAAATAAACAACCGTGCTGCCTACTGGGGCCAGATAAGGTAAATGAGAAAACAAACAGCGGGGCGTGTGGCGAGGGGAGCTCCCGCCCCACGTCTCCCTCGGGAAGAGGCGCCGCCGCTCCTCGTCTGCTCTGCACGTTTGGGAAACGGACCCCGGGTTGTGAGAACTTCGGATTTTCCACAGGACGCCAGAAACCCCAGCCTTCACTGCAATGTCTCAATCTGAAATGTTGGCAACCCAATTCAAATGTTCAAAAGACATTTTGCAGACCAACCTTGGGAACCAAACCTAATCCTTCTAGGAAGCCACGCAGCTCTAAGCAGCCAATCTGCAACTTGTGCGTTCAATAGCGCGGACAATATGAGAACGCACTTCCTGGGAAAGTGATTCCCGGGAAGCCTGCAGTGGGCAAGGGCCCACGGGGCCCGCCGCGCTCAGACCCCGCGCTGCATTCCGCCCCGGGGAACCTCGTCTTGATTAACCTCAGTGTCGCGCCCGCCTAAACCCTTGGCCTTAAGCGGCTCTCAGGGTAAGCAGACCGAGTGACTCCTTCTCTTTATAATAATGAAATTAATTATTCAAGGGCCAGCCAAACCTCATGCAAATAACTTCATATTCCCAGATTCCTCAAGTTTCCCCGCACAAAAGCATTTGAATGTTTTCTATATGATGGGATTAATATTGTTTTTTAATGTTACTAAGCATCCAGAACGAGCAATTGTGACCCATCCAGAGGGAATATGCTCAGCTTTTTAAATTACAGTCCTGACTACAACTAATCCCCTCCTCCCACCCAAACAACAACCACACACACACACACACACACACACACACACACACCTTCCAAATCAAAGTGGTGTTGGCTCCAGGGTTTCAATTTGTAGCGAACTTCCCAACAGTTTCAATCTTTCTTGCGCAGCCTGGCCTCTGGCCACATCCTTCCAGCTATCAAAGGTTTCTTCGTGCCACGTCCCTGAAACTCCCCACACTCTCTAAGTGACAACTTTCCTTCGCCAGCTCTGGCGGGGCTGTGTACAGAAGTCTCTAATTGCGCATTTATGATAAGGACGAAGTTCCCGGCCTCCCCACCCTCGACTTTCCCGCCGGGAAAACCTTCCTCCTCGCCCGACTCCGGGAACCGGCGGCTCCTGCAGCTGCCTCAACTCTG